GGTGGGCTGGGTCCGAGCCGGGGGCTGGGTCCGGGCCAGATCGGGGGTGCTGGGCCCGGACTGGGAGTGCTGGGAGTGAACCGGGGGTGCCAGGCCTAGGTGGGACCCTGGGTGCAGGGCCCGGGCTGGGTCACGGGTGCTGGGCCTCGGCCCGGTCCTGGGTGCAGGGCAAGACGGGCGCCTCTGGTCCCAGGCTGGGCAAGGGGTGCTGGGTCGGGCCGGGCCGGGCCTGCAGGGCACTTGTGGGTGCTGGAGCTGAACTGCCCCCAGCCAGGTGCGCGGGCAGGCCTGGCCCTAAGGTGGCAGCGCCCTGGGGACAGGGGCGCTGGGACATCCCTGCCCCTGGGCCAACACGGCCCCGTCCCCCAGCCAACACGGTCACCTTGCAGGCGTGTCCCCCAAGCCTGGCACCATGGACGCGCCGCCCATCACACCTGGGGAGCTGCTGTGTCTGGGCTCCAGCCTCGCCTTCTCCGGCCTCTTCTACTACCTGTACAGGAAGAAAGCCAGAGTCGTGGCACGCATACAGGTAGCCCTCTCCCTCAGGTGCTCTCTCATGCCCACTGTTCCTTCCCTGCTGCCCTACACTGCCCGGCCCAGAGCTTTTGATTTGAATGCACCTCACTGATGACAGCAGCCTGCTGCATCCTCTACTGATGTCATGATGGCCAGGACCGAGCAGGTCACATCCTGCCAGAGATCCCCACAAAGCCATGCGTGACCCACCCTCTGCCTGCTAGCCCGTCTGCCCCTGCCCATGTTCACACTCAGTCCCTGCTCTTGCAGGAGGCCCCAAAGCTCCAGGTTGACGACGATTTACCAGCACTGGTCTCTGCGGCTGATGGGAGGTGCCTGCCTTACGTTGCCCTGGAAGGTAAGGAGACCCTGTGGCCCCATACCGGGGACAGGGGCTGGGCTCTCCTCCTTTGGCCGTGATGCATTCTTTGGTCCTTAGGCATAGTGCTGCCAGCCAAGGCTGTGCTCACCAGCCATTACCATGAGGGGCTGCAGGGTGTGATCCAGAAACTGCTTCTGAAAGAACATCGGCTGATCTGGAACAGCTTGGCCCGGAGCTGGTGAGCCATGGGAGGGGACAGCAGGGGTGGGCTTGCACCAGTGGGTCCAGACCCCCATCCTCTGGGGCCAGTCGAGAGGCAGAAAGTGGCTCGGTTAAAGGCTCTAGTCCCTACCCTTGGCTCAGCCCCAGGAGCTCCGAGTTCCTCCGTGTTGTCCACATCCCAGCGCTGCACTCTCTGCTTGCAGGAGTGAGAGCGAGCGGGTGCTCTCGGAGCAGGTCTACACCGTCCCCTTCTTGCTGGCCTCGCCGGATACTGAGGCAGTGACACCAGTGAGCGTGGAGAGCCCACTCCGAGCTGTCTCCCTGCCGCTGGAGACAGTGTACGAGCGGTTCCAGCAGCCAGCCCACGGCTTCCGTGACCTGCTGGGCCAGTACTTGAGCGGGGAGAAGCCCAAGGGCATCCTGGAGACGGAGGAGATGCTGCGGGTGGGGGCTGGGCTGACGGGTATTGGGGAGCTGGCCCTGCACCTTGACGGCTCCCTGCACCTCCAGCCGCCGGCCCAGGGGGGAGAATATTTCCTGTGCCTGGGGGACTGGCAGACGGTGCTGGCGGAGCTGGAGTCGGCCAGCGGGCTCTGGAAGGGGGCGGCCATGCTGTGCGCTGCAGCGGGTCTGGCCGTCCTCCTGCATGCCCTGTGCCGTGCCTACCGCCGCGCCCGCCTCAAGCAGCAGCGTGAGGACAAGGAGCCGGAGGGCGAGGGAGCTGGGGACGAGGGGCCCGAGGACTCCTGCGTGATCTGCCTGACGCGGCCCCGTGAGTGTGTCCTCTTGGGCTGCGGCCACATCTGCTGCTGCTTCCGCTGCTTCCAGGCTTTGCCCACCCGCCTCTGCCCCATCTGCCGGGGGCCTATTGACCGCGTGGTGCCCCTCTACCAGGCCTGAGAACACCTGGGGGGTGCCCAGGGAGGGGCACCGCAAACCAAGCCAAGCCTGGAGCCTGCAGAAATCTCAGCTGTCCCCTTGCGTGCAGCTGTGTGATTCCTGTTGGGAGTCAGGGGTCCTGATGAGCCCTCCTGTATGTTTTGGGGCGGGGGGGTAGGGGGGTTATAGCCTCCTCATCCTCCCTTTGTCTGCCAGAGGGAACCCCCTGAACATGAAGGCTTGGGGGAAACATACTCAGTGCCTGAGCCAAGGAGCCGAGTCCCCTGCCCCACACCAGGGGGATTCCCTTGGCTGACGGCTGTTTGAGCTGTGCCCCTTTCTGAGGCCTGACCCCCCCAAAGCCACGCAGGACTTTTCCTTTGTTTTGCTTTTCTGGTGTGTGGCTTTATGGAAAGGATGGCGGGGGCAGGACCGGGGCTGGTGGGACAGAGCCAGGCAGGCATAGTGGGGGTGACAGAGATCCAAACTCCCCCAAGCCACCACAGTGGCACACCTTGGTGCCATCATTGTCCTCCCCCCACCAAATCCACATGCCTACAACCACTGCCCAGACTGTGTGGGGGCACCTGGGGGCTGGTGGCAATGAAGCATGCCTCTTCGCCAGCTGGTCTGCCACCCAGGGAGGGGGACAGCATCCTTCCGTCCCTCTCCACAGGGTCCCCACTCTCCTTCTGGAGCAGAGGGACAGCCCTGGGGTGCCCCAGAGCCCACCCACGCCTCCAGCCCTCGCTGCACCCAGCTTTCCTGCCTGCTTCCCGGCCAGGACCGAGTGCGGGAGCAGCTTGTGTGTGGAGTGATAAAGCCAAGGAGCCGAGCTCAGCCTTGCCTCTTCCTTCGTGCCATTGAGTTGGGGGACTGGGGGGGCATGCTGGGAGCCAAGGCTCTGCCCCCCAGGGGTGGGTGGGGGGTGCTGCCACCTCCCTCCCCACCCAGGGAGCTGGCCCAGGTGCACGCTCACTGGTGGTGGCTGGTGGGCAGGGGACCCCGGCTGGGGTGCATGTCCTCAGGATACAGCCCCAAAGTGGGGGGGGGGAACAGGACTGTTGCCAAGGTGATCGCGCTCTTCTGGTCTCCATGGCAACTGCTCCCCTGGACTGCTCCCCATCACTGCCTGGCTGCAGTTGCCCAGGCAACCCACAGGCTCTCCTGGCTCCTGCGGCTTTGGGGCACCCAGGATTTGGGGAGGGAGGGACGACGCTGGCAGGCCACTGGGGTCGGGGGGGTGGACATGATGTGCCCCCTCCCCAGTGCAGCTGCCCCCATTGCTGCCAGTTTGGGGCTGGGAGCTTGCTTGGGGCAAAGGTGCTCCTGTGGTGTTGCCCTCAGGCCCACAGCCAACCGCGATGCCCCAGAGCACCCAGTGAAACCTCCTGGGACCCATGTGCATTTTTGGGGTGTGGGTGTGTAGGGGGGGCCCCTTTGTCCCCCCCCCCCCCCACAGTCTGTCAGCCCAGCCTCTTGTCCGTGCCAGCACAGTGACTGCCACGCTGCAGAGTGAGCAGTGGGGCCCGGGTCCCCCCCCCCCCCCCAACCCGGCATCCCCCCCGCAGCAGGAGGGATTTCGGGAAGGAGATAAATACCAGATGGGAGAGGGCCGGGCTGCCAGGAACACACTCCCCGCGTGCCAAGAGCTTCTGGCGCGAGTGGGCGCGTGGGCCGGGGAGGGCGGGGGGTGCCCGTGCTCCCAGAGACTGCTCGCCTCGTTCCCCGGGTCCCTGCAGCCAGCCGAGGAAGGGCACAGCTAGAGAAGGACCCACAGCCACCCGCTCCCCTCTGTCCCCATGGGTGCCCAGGGAAGGGAACACATCCCTTGTGCTGGAGGCACACAGGGAAGGTGCCATCCCGTGCTGGGGCACGTTCCTACCCTACCGTCCAGCCCCAGGAGGCCACCGGCCCTGCGGTGGCCTGGGGACACAGACCCCACTGAGCAGCCCTGCGCCTGGCACCGCTCTGGGCAGCAGCGTGACTCAACTGCTCCACGCCAGCCAAAGCCTCACCCTGCCAAACCAGCCGGCACAGGGGCTGCCTGGCTGCGCCGCAGCGCCTGCGCCCCCAGACGAACCCGCTGTGTCCTGTGTCCCCCCTGCCAATCCCAGGATTTTTGGTCTGGAGCAGGACAGCAGGGAGCTCATGGTGCCTGGCCTGAGCCCTGCCCAGCATCCCACACACACGCACACACACACACACCAGGCCCAAGAGAGACCCAGGCATTCTGCCAGCCGCCCCCACACACCCGCAGGGTCCCCGTGGGTGCCAGCCCGTGCCCATGGCCCCCACACACACCCCCCAGGGCTGCCCGCCCGCTCCCGCCTGCCTCCCTGTCTGTTGTCATGGTGACCAGAGATGTGGTGACAGACGAGGATGGAGCCTCGCACCCCAGCAGGGCTGTTCATACACCCAGCGGGGTCAGCCCCCCCCCCCTTTCCTGCTCCCCCCTCCCTCCAGGTCTGGGCAGGGGACCCTCCATGAAGCCCCTGCCCCAGGCAGCACGCTGGGGGTGCCCCGTCTGCTCAGCTGCAGCCCTGGCATTGCTGAGACCACAGCTGTGCCCCCGGCAGCTCACGTGAGGGACGGGGATAGTGCCACCCCCCTTCCACCTGACCCAACTTATAACCAGAGACCCCTCGGGAGCACCCTCTTCCTGAAGCCAGGCTGTGCGCTGAGACAGACAAATTCATCTCACTAATGACAACCTGCTGGCTAGCTGCCTCTGGCTGTCCTGCAAAGGCTTGAGCCCTTCCTGCCTGGGAAAGGTGCTGTCCCTCCAGGGAGGGCTTTTTGGCCTCATCTTCCCACACGACCAGCTGCGGGGACAGCACAGGGCGAGGAACACGCCGCTCTTGCACGCTTGCCCTGGGCTCACCCACAGCACAGCTGCTGAGCAGGTTGCCTGTCCCCTGTCCCCCAACATCTCCTCACTACAGTGATGAGGGCCACCACGACCATCGGCAGGCATGGCCATCTCCACTGCCTGCACCCAGCCCGGGTGCGTGTCTCTGCTTCCCCCAAACACCCATGCGAAGGAGCTGCCTGACCATGGCAGAGGCAGCACATAGAGCAGCATCCCCACCTGGGCTTTGGCTACCGAGAGCCAGCAGCAATAGTCAAGGATGGTCACATCTCTGACCTTGTCAATGACCTTCACCAGTCCCCCACACCGGGCTGGGGACGGGTGCTCGGAGAGAGCGGCAGTGCCGGCAGCGGGGAGCTGGTGCTCAGTGAGGCCCCTGGGCCACGGCTGCCGCCACCGCGGAGCAGAAGTGCCATTTCACGTTTCTTGGCAGGGCTGGAAACAGCACAGATGGAGACACCCGAGCCGGCCTCCAGGCACGCCTCTGCAGCCCCTGGCCCTGTGGCACCAGCCCTGGCACTCCCAGCCCCCAGAGGCAGCACTGACGGGCTCCCAGCCCTGCAGCAGAGAAAGCCCTAGGTCTGGTGGCTGATGCCTCTTGCCTCCTCCAAGCCCCCTGTCATCCAGCCATTGCCTGCCAGGCCACCAACCCTGTCCCTGCCAGGCCTCGGGGACCACCACGTGCTCCCATCCAGTCCAATTCCCGCTGCCCAGGGGTCTCCCCACAGAGCCTGGGCAGGACATGCCCCACCATGAGCCGCTTGCGCACACACAGGGTGTTTCTCCACCATAAAACCACTTGAAGCACCAGTGACTACAGGGAAACCCCTCATCTCCATCACAGCACCTGGTGCCGGCACCCAAATCCCCACCAAGGGTACAGGGCTCAGGGGCAGCATCCAGCTGTGGGGCTGGGTCACAGCAGGCGCCAGTGGGCTCCCGGAACATCACCCAAGGCTGGGTGATGCAGCATGATCTCCATCGCCAGCCCCACTGCAGCTGGGAACCCAGCTGTGTGCCCCTGCCCGGCCCCACATCCACCCCAGGGGGGTCACAGCCGGCCCCCAGCCCTTGAATCACCTGTAAGGTGTCCCAGCTCAGGGGCTGCAGCCCAGGTTTAAGGAGCCAGGGCAGGAAGAACCGCCAGCTTCCCACTCCCACAGCCCCTTCTTCCCGCTGGAGCTGGCTTTGTGTCGGACAAAAGGCTGCAAAGGAAGCGAGAAAGGAGATTACGTGGCTGCTAAAAGGCGGATAACGAAGGTGGGATGAGAGCCAGGGGAAGGAGGGTGCGCGGTCCAGCTCACCATGAGGGGATGTAACCTGCACTGGCAGGGGATGAGGGTGGGGTCCCTCCTGCACCCCTTGCCCACCCACCCACATTTAGGTCCCTGGTACCTCTTCCCCCCAGGGACGCATGACCAGCAGCACCCTTGGTGAGCCAGAGACTAGAGATGTCCCAAGGAGATGCAGCACCCAGAGCCACAGTGCTGCCCTGTCCCACCTACAGCCCAGCTGTGCCGGCACAAATCCGGCCCTCCTCCTGCCTGGGCTGGGTGGAGGGTCCATCACACACCCCCAAACCCCAGCCAGCCCCACAGAGCTTCCCCCCCACCACCCCACAGCCAAGCCAAGCAGCTCCCCTGGGTGCAAGGCACTGCAGAGATATAGGTGCAGGTCTGGGATAAGCGGGGCCATTCCCAGGGTGACCCCTCTCAAGCCTTTCCCCAGGAGCCTGCTGGGCTGGAAGCCCTCCCAGAGTGCAGCACCGGCCCCGCTCACATCCCACACAGCCCATCTGCTCCTCTTCTCGCTCACCCCCAGCCCCGCGCGTGCCACGGCCTGCCTGTCCCTGCCCACGGGCAGCGGCACGTGGGCTTGGCGACGGGAAAAGCAGGCCACATCTCAGCGTGGGCCTCTTGCCTATTTTCCCGGGCGCTTTTTGCAGGAGCAGAAGCCGTCACATGAAAAAGTTCAAGCTGGTTCCCCAGCAAAGGCAGGAATAAAGGCACTGCTTTGCCAGGAGAGTGGGCACTGCTGCCCCATCCCTGTTCTGGGAGGGGACAGCGGGGACCTGTGTTCTGCAGAGCCGAGCACAAAGGGAAAGGCAAGGTTAAGCCTTCCCAAAATAGAAGTACCTGCCCTCTCGCATGGACCAGCCTGGCTGATGGTCTTCTGCAGCACCTTTTAACAGGATCTCAGGCCGTGGAGATGCTGGCATGGAGAGATGGGCCACAGGGCTGGCCCCACCCTTGCCCCCTCAAGACACCCAGAGGGAGATTCTCATGGG